AGTCTAGAGGATGTGTACCAAAAGAGATTAAAAAGGCAATTTTGAAGTAGGCTAGAGAAGTAAGTTTGAACTTTGGAGCTACAGTGGGGCAAAAAAGTATTTAGTCAGCCACCAATTGTGCAAGTTCTCCCACTTAAAAAGATGAGAGAGGCCTGTAATTTTCATCATATGTATACCTCAACTATGAGAGACAAAATGGGGGAAAAAATACAGAAAATCACATTGTCTTTAAATTCTTTAAAAATCAGACAATGTGATTTTCTGGATTTTTTCCCCCATTTTGTCTCTCATAGTTGAGGTATACCTATGATGAAAATTACAGGCCTCTCTCATCTTTTTAAGTGGGAGAACTTGCACAATTGGTGGCTGACTAAATACTTTTTTGCCCCACTGTAGCTCCAAAGTTCAAACTTACTTCTCTAGCCTACTTCAAAATTGCCTTTTTAATCTCTTTTGGTACACATCCTCTAGACTGGCCAGAACTTTAATCTCAGTCCTTACCTTGAACAGCAGGCAGGCAGGCAGGCAAGCATGTCCAAACTGACTGGCAATCAGTTAGCATTCTCTATTTTCTGCTCTGCTGGATATACCAACAAAACATGCTGAAATGGCTCAAAATCCTATTTTTGCACCCTATTTTCCTGACTCATCAGGAATCTTTTTACTTTCTAGGTGGATGAAGAAACCTCGCTGTGGTGTTCCTGATCATCCCCATCTAAGCCATAGACGAAGGATTAAGCGATATGCACTTACTGGACAAAAGTGGAGGCAGAAGCATATTACCTACAGGTATAATCCAACATTTTTAAAAATTTAATGGAGTTTATACTTTAAATATTATGCAGTGCCACCAGTCTTGGCATTAGTTCATATTCCTTGTTCAAGGGGGAACTTAACTGGGAATTCTGGGAGATGTAGTGCCAATACATCTGGAAACCAGACATTTTTGCTTATAATTTTTTAATAGCATGTGGTTCCCTGTGAGCTTGTTTATGGATGTATAGCTTCAGTTCAGTAACACAGCAGCCTTGTTAGTGCATTTTAAAAGCTTTAGTTCTTTAAATTTAGCTTTCATTTAAAAGAAAGTTTTGGATATTCTTGTACATAGAAATTAGTGACACTTTGAGTCTTTTTAGGATTGTAATTAAAATCAGTATATAAATACATTAAATATTAAACATTTAAGAAAAAAGAAGGAAGAATATGAAATATATTCATGTGGATCTCATTTCATTTGGTTTTTTTTGCTATGTCTGTTTTGTGGCTTTTGAAGTAATTAGTCAAGATGCTTGCTTGTTTTATAAGGGAGAGCCAAAATGTCAGTTAAATGCTATTGTGGGTGAATTTATGCACTGTATATTCATTCAGGCCATGTCAGTTCAATGCAAATAATTGCTGCCTTCTCTCATACAGTTATAATTTGGGGACAGGCAACTACCCAGCTAATTTCCCAGTTGCCACTGAATGATTGCATCTTTCTCCCTTTCCTGGTCCTAATCAAAGTGTGTTGAATAAAATATATTTAAATTTCTGAGCTGAAAAATGCATATGTTGAGTGCAAAACCACTGTCCCAAATGCAGAATGGGCTGTTTCAACCATTTGGATAGTATTTAAGCTCAAAACAGAACAAAATTTCAAACATGGCATTTTGAACTCAGGATGGCTCAACATTTGAAATCTCTTGTATATTCTTATAAAATAATTAAGGTCAAGGATCCTTGAATTGTTAAAAGTCAAATTAGAGGTTTCAAATTAAGAAACGTTATTGAGATTAGAAATGGAAAACTAAGTGGTGAAGGATAAAACACGACAATACAATTAGAGAAAAAACTGTTTTTTTTGACACCTAAATCAGACCATCATTTGAGTACTTATTTGCAAGGAGGTTGGATCACCCACTATACTGTATTTAACAGATTAGGAGAAACTGTTGACCTTTAAAATTTTACATGGTTTATATCTAATGTATTTGAAAGGCTATTTCCTTGGTATATATGTCTGTGTTTCTTAAGATCTTCATGATCAATACAGTTGATAGCATTAGAAAGAGTCTTTTAAGGGTTCTCTTCTGAGCAACTTTCAGCTGGTCCTATTTGTTCTTGTTTTAAAGAAAGCTTCAGAATGGTTTTATTTTATCTTCTTTTTAAATTAAAGTTTTTACTGCATGTATTGATCCTTTTGCTTCTTTTGGTCAAAGCTTAATTTGTTTTTGTTTGCTTAGTTAACTAGCTTATTTAAATTACTTGATTTGTGAGTTTATGTATTATATTGAATTTGTGTGATTGCTGTTGTAAGTTGCCTTGAGAATACTAGTCTTGAAAAGCAGCTGTGAAATATTTTAAAAGTAAACCTACCTCCCAAACTGGCTTTCAGCATGGATGAAACATGTTTAAAAGCTATGTCATCTGAATTCTTTCCATTGTGAAATGCATTATTTTTGTCTGGTGGATTTTGCGAGATTTTGCAAGTTGCATGAAAGGTAGAAGGTACGTGTTTGAGGAATAATGGCAGAGATCTTTATAGCTTAGTTAATGTAAGATGATTTAAAGCTTATTGATGTTGGAAATAAAAGTGAATAGGCTATATGAATATTCAGTTATTATTCAGTAATATACTGTTAAAAATTACTGTTTTTGTAATATATGATCATGATATGTGCTATTGTCATAATTAGTAAAAACTTGAAGAAAGATCAGCTTTGATCAACTAATTTTGTTCAAAAGACAATGTGACTCTTTCTCTTCTTTTTAAAGCCCTTTAATCTTTTATGCTATCTTTGATTTAGTGTCTGACATGTTACTTTTTCTAAATATAGCTCCAAAGTAGCTGTTTTCTCTTAATTTATTCCAGACTTGCAAGATAGAAGTGCTTACTAAGTCCCTTTCACGGAGGATGCTTCTTGTCTGCCTATCTAAATCAGTGTTTCTCAACCTCAACAACTTTAAGATATGTGGACTTCAACTCCCAGAATTCCCCAGCCAGCATGCTGACTGGGGA